TGCAGGAACCATTCTAAATCGGCAAGCGCAGGTCCTGTGTAAACTTTCACTCAGTTGCCCGTTACCCTACTGTGAAAAATGTTTCCGATAAAGTTATTTTCGCATAAATGCCCAGCGTTTTGATCCTCACGAAAACTGGGCACAACAGCGTAATTTCTCGGCGGAAAATGGAGAAGAAGCAGACGATTACAGTGTTACTCAGCACAACCAAACAAATCGAAAAATTGGTGTGACTCGGGTTATGTATAACACACAACCGACCGTTTCCTAACGTAGCCATACTGTTAGCATAATCAAGAAACACACAAGGAACTGTTATGTGTTCACTCTCGCTCAACAAACAATTGTGTAGAATAGTATTACCGACAAATACAAGGGAGACTGGAATGGCCATTTCTGGCTTATTAGCCGTCGTCAGCCAGTCGTACCCAACCACAAAGCGTGGGACATCTGGGGCTCGATCCTGCAACCTGTTGGGTAGAAATCCAACGCCTCTAAACACCGAGTAACTGAGCCAATGTGTATGTTTCAAAAGAAAGATTGATTTTTCGAATAGTTCATTTGCCGACAACTAACCAAGTGTCCAATTAGGTTTTTTGCATGGGGTAGAAGAGGTCATACAGCCAAAGATTTAGCGCTACTTCTTAGTGATCCCGTTTGCTGTGTTGTGCGGATTTCCGAACTTTCTTTGTTATGATAATTCCTTTTTAAGGAGCTGGATGCCAAATGCTCGTCGCTTCAGCTGAAGATTGATCAACTCAGCCTCGCACAATCCAGAACAGAGGAAGATGCAAAAGGTTTCAAGTTAAAGACTGATCAGCTCAGTATGACGATTCTTGAAAACAATCGTGCCCTTGAGGAGGCTAATGAACGTCTGAGAAAGACACAGAAGGCCTTGGCAGCCTGCGAAAAAGAAAAGCATTTACTGCAGGCAAGTTCTTCACACTAAACCAGCGCACATGGTTACTTAGAAGTCTAATTTTGCGATATAACAATACTTTTCATTTATTTTATTGAAAAGATGAAGGAGTTTTCGAAAGGTCGTCTTATTCTACTAAAAATAGTCAGCAAGACTGGCATCTACTTACCATAGCTTAATTGATCGCGAAAACCCCATCCACAATACTCAGAGTTCCCTTGGATGATCTACTTAAAAGGGAATGATTTCATGTACGTACGTGAGCACTTCTCGTAACTCGGCCATGCCAGGTATTTCGAAATGACGTTATGAAGGCAAGGCCCTACTCGAGTATATTTGGACTGCTCGCGACAACACCATCAGACCAACCAACTAGAAGCCTTGTTCGCAAGCTGGAGACTGGAGGGCAGGAGGCTACGACTTACGGGAGGACCGAGAGACACGCCCTGGGAGAGCGGGCAAGGAGATTAAATCCAGTAGTCACGGTTGGGGTGGGTAGGCTACAATCGATGTTCTCTCACACTGTGGGTAAGGGGGAGGAGTGAGGGTGACGTCAACCAATAGTGTTTAGGACCGGTGAAGACGTGTCTGTGGGAGGACGGAGGGCGCGTTGACGTCATGAAATCCGTTGCTGTGGGAGTGTATCGACATAGGAGATGGACACGAAAACTTCTGAGGTGGGCTTGGCGAGGGCTCTCTGGGGGCGTCTCGGGGCCTGGCACTCCAATCCCACCAGTACTGAACGCCACATCGACAACGGTACGCATCGTACCGGCCAACGGAGTTCACCTTCAGCACGCGAACAACGGGTCGTTGTAAGCACTCTGGAAATTCACCTTGCTTCTACCTTATTTGTGCGATGCCTAGTTCTCTTTTATAAGACGTATGGGGGCTTTGGGCAAAACAGCCCTTTTTTTCTTTCATGCCACAGTCTAGATTCGCTTTTAAGATCCCTTTGAACGAGTTTTGTCGCGGTTCCAGTCGGTGTGTTTGTGACTGTTCGAAAATATAGGTTTTGTAAAAATCCTTCCTCAGAGCAAATGATGTGTACACACATCTGCTACTAATGGCACAGGCTGGTTGACTTTGCAATGAATATAAAGCCCGAAAAAAATGCAACAAATCACCTATTTTGGCCAGCTTGACAGAAATACACTGGTGGGATAGCCCATTTGTCATCTCGCATTTCAAGTGCAACTTCAAGGCCAACGTAACATAATAAATCAGTTTGATGCCTTTCCATACTTGACAAGTTGTCGTTAAGGTAGAGGCAAGACATCCAATATTAATAGCTCGAGGTTCAGTCTCCACATGGGCACAGTGTCATTTACTACAAGGCTAATTTTTATTTAAATTATTGATCTCTCGTAATAGGACGTGCTTTTTGGTTAAACCACAAAAAGTACGCTCACACCGAGGGATGCTGTTATAGGATGTTTTCATTTGCAAACGCAAAGTCCTGATGAAGACCGAAAATCTACAATAGCATACAACCAAGGCCATTATTAATACGGCGGATAGCGAAACCAGGTGGTGTGTGGGCTGCTTGACTTTGTCAGTCACTGCGCCCGATCCCCCCCCTCCCCCAGTCTTCCTGAATCCGTCTTGACACTGAGCCCAAGTGGGTGAGGGAACAGAGGGTGTGGTAGATGTATCGCAAATCTGCTGTCATTATAAATTAATTCACGCGCAATTCACCGTCCCTGCTGTGGGGCACACGGTGGACATCGTCGGAAACGACGGCCAAGCTGCCAGAAAGCGAAAAAAACGATAAAATCTTGAAAGGACAGGTAGACAACCTTTGGTCGCTGTGAATCTGCATGTCATAAGGAGTCACGCATTCTACTCAGGCCTAGTTGGTTTCCTTTTGTATGGCAGTTGCTTTCAGTGCTGTTGCGAAACAGTTTAAGCTACTAATTCCTTCGCTCAAAAATAAACAATTGCTTTCGCTAAAGAATACCACACTAATCTCTGTGCATGAAGGCACAGCTGGTTTAGCTCACCAGCGGATTTTTACACTGAATTGCCCACGACTGGCCAAAACAGAACGTTTTCATTGGGAGTGTAAGTCCAGTCTGTTTGCCACGGAGAAGCAAACTTAAATTTTGGCTGACCAGTCTATCCTTGTATTAGGACCGTCTGGAAACCATTCAAGCCTCGCTCGCGGAGTCGAGACGCGAGAGTGATCGGTTGTTAGCACAGATTCACACCATGGAGACCGAGCTTGCGGAAACGGAGCTGCAACGAGCGGTCCTGGACGGTGACGCTAAGCAGGCCGCCGGTCTCCTCTCCAAGCACCAGGAGGCCGTGCAGGAATTGAATAAACTTCTGACTACAGTAAGCACAAGCTCTCCAGTTTCTGCGTACTTTTCATTGTTTGCCCTCACTGGCACGCGTTTTCGTCGTATTCGCAACCATCTCTCATCTTCCCTGGGTGAGTAATTCGATTACTTTTTGGCACACGTGGGTCACCTTCCCGATGTGTAGACATGGGAAACTGCAGCCCAACTGACGGATCAGGTGACAGTTAGCTGGCGCGGAACACTGAGGGGCCGTAATTAAACTAAGACTCCCCGAACAGTAGTTGCACTCCTGTATTTTTCAGTGCAAGTTTTAGAGCGTTCCACTGGCATTATATTTTCAATCTTTAACCACCACCCACACGGTCCCGTGAGCAAATAATTCGACTACAGTAGTTGTGCTAACTCATGAAATGTCAACCAAAATTTCGAAATGCGTTCTCGTTTCGAAAAGATAAATTAAGTAGTGTTGTAAAACTAAGCATGATGCAGCATAAATCTATCATGATCCAGTTACCTCAGGGTGTCCGCTTTCGAAAGCACTTATTTTCGGTTGCATGCAAGATCTATACTTTGCAAGAAATTACTACTTAAGTAGCATGCAATTTTTTAATTGATTTTCGATGCCCTTGAAAATTCAATTATATTTCATGGAAAACATGCATGAAAATATTCAATCTTTTACTTATTCGGTAGAAAATCACGTCTTCTTCCACTTTTATACTCACAAGAATAGTATGATTCGGTTTTAAAAAAGTTTCTAATTGTGAGACTTTTTAATACCGTTAAATGGCCGTTCATGAAACGTCATGTATCTGCATTTACGAATGTGGCTTGTAAAGTTAGCAATATTGCATGCATTTCTCTACGGTTTTAAAAAGAGACCATATAAGGTTCATAAAATTAAGCAGTGGATTTGAGCCATATTGTTAACTTTACAAGCCACATTCGTAAATGCAGATACATGACGTTTCATGAACGGCCATTTAACGGTATTAAAAAGTCTCACAATTAGAAACTTTTTTAAAACCGAATTATACTATTCTTGTGAGTATAAAAGTGGAAGAAGACGTGATTTTCTACCGAATAAGTAAAAGATTGAATATTTTCATGCATGTTTTCCATGAAATATAATTGAATTTTCAAGGGCATCGAAAATCAATTAAAAAATTGCATGCTACTTAAGTAGTCATTTCTTGCAAAGTATAGATCTTGCGTGCAACCGAAAATAAGTGCTTTCGAAAGCGGACACCCTGAGGTAACTGGATCATGATAGATTTATGCTGCATCATGCTTATTTTTACAACACTACTTAATTTATCTTTTCGAAACGAGAACGCATTTCGAAATTTTGGTTGACATTTCATGAGTTAGCACAACTACTGTAACTTTTGGCAGGCATAGTTTACCCCAAGAAACTTTTAGGCTGTCTCATTCCTGCTACAACCGGCTCTGTGCCAATCGATGGTTTGTCAAAACCGGTTTTTGCATGACG